AGAGACAACACTCCCATACTGCCGGCATCCTGCATTGTGGTGCCGGTAGTATGGGCGATGGACGCGGATATAGAGCAGGCATTATGCACGGATCCCTCTCCACCTCAGTGTCCAGATGGGCTACAGTACGTGCCTGCTCTTATCCGTGATTGTCTGATCTACTGGGCACACACGTCACCCTCCTCTGGTCACCCAGGTATCGGCCGTACAGTGCGCTGCCTGACTGGAAAATACTGGTGGCCTACCTTGGATAAGGACGTGAGGGTGTATGTCCCCTCCTGCTCAGTGTGCGCCCAGAGTAAGGCACCTAAGTTACAACCTTTACCAGTTCCACAACGACCATGGTCTCACCTAAGTGTTGATTTTCTAACTGATCTTCCCCTCTCCCAAGGTAACACCACCATCCTGGTCATTGTGGACCGCTTTTCTAAAGCCTGCCGCCTCCTTCCTCTGCCCGGTCCCTCCACGGCTCTGCAAACTGCGGAGGCCCTGTTTACACACGTCTTCCGGCACTATGGGGTACCAAAGGATATAGTGCCTGACCGAGCTCCCCAGTTCACGTCCAAGGTCTGGAAGGCATTAATGGAACGTCTGGGGGTCTCGGTCAGCATGTCCACCCCGAGAGTAATGGGCAGGTGGAACAGGTAAATCAGGACGTGGGTAGGTTCCTGCGGTCCTACTGCCAGGACCGGCCGGGGGAGTGGTCGGTGATCTTGCCATGGGCAGAATATGCCCAGAACTCTCTCCGCCACTCCTCCACTAACCTAACGCCTTTCCAGTGTATTCTAGGTTACCAACCGGTTCTGGCACCGTGGCACCAGAGCCAGACCGAGGCTCCTGCGGTGGATGACTGGTTTCGGCGCGCGGAGGAGACGTGGGATGCTGCCCACGTTCACCTCCAACGCGCTGTGCGTCGTCAGAAGGCCAACGCTGACCGCCACCGAAGTGAGGCCCCTGTCTTTGTACCGGGGGATCGGGTCTGGCTCTCGACCTGGAATCTGCCCCTCCGCCTGCCCTGCCCGGAAGTTGAGCCCGCGGTTTGTGGGGCCGTTCAAAGTCCTGAGGAGAGTCAACGAGGTCACTTATAGGTTATTACTTCCCCCTGATTACCGTATTAACCCCTCATTTCATGTGTCTCTTCTCAGGCCGGTGGTAGCTGGTCCGCTCCAGGAGTCTGAGGTGTGGGAGGTCCCGCCACCTCCTCTGGACATCGAGGGGACCCTGGTGTACTCTGTCCGTTCCATCCTGGATTCGAGGCATCGGGTGGGGGGCCTTCAGGACCTCGTGGAGTGGGAGGGGTACGGTCCGGAGGAACGGTGCTGGGTTCTGGTGAGGGATATCCTCGATCCCTCCATGTTACGGGATTTCCACCATCGCCATCCGGCTCGCCCTGCTCCGCGTCAAGGGGGGGGGGGGGGGGGGGGTACTGTCACGACTTCCACCGAGGCTGCCTCCCCTCCTTGTTCGGGCAGGTTTCGGCGTTCAGCGTCACCGGCTTACTAGCTACTGCCGATCCATTTATCATCACTCCATTTGTCTTGTCTTCAACCACACACACCTGGCCCTTATTCCCTCATTAGCCATGGTATAAGTGTTCCCTCTGTTTCCTTGTCTGTGTGGGTCATTGTTTATTGTGGAGGTTTGTGAAGCTCGGTGGAGCTCGTGTATTGTGTATCGACGGGAGTATTTTCCCGTGTGCCTTGTATTTTCCAGGGCCCCTGTTTTGTGCCCTGGAGTGTGTTTGACGCATTTCTGCGTAATCCTGTATTTTTGCAGATTAAAGCCTGTTATTCTGTGATTTACCCTCCTGCGCCTGACTTCTTCAACACCACCTCATCATACAGTACATAATGAAATGTCAACAGACAGACAGACAGACAGACAGACAGACAGACAAGGCCTTTTAAGTTGCGGATCGCCATCATGGAGAGCAGCTCTGGCCAGCCGTTTAAACTGTGGTAAGAGAGCGAGAGAGAGAGAGAGAGAGAGGAGAGAGAGAGAGAGAGAGAGAGAGAGAGAGAGAGAGAGGGAGGAAGAGAGGAAGAGAGAGAGAGACTAAACACCTCCCTCAGCAGCTGGATCCTGGACTTCCTGACGGGCCGCCCCCAGGTGGTAAGGGTAGGTAACAACACATCTGCCACGCTGATATTCAACACGGGGGCCCCTCAGGGGTGCGTGCTCAGTCCCCTCCTGTACTCCCTGTTCACCCATGACTGCATGGCCAAGCACGACTCCAACACCATCATTAAGTTTGCCGACGACACAACAGTGATAGGCCTGATCACCGACAACGATGAGACAGCCTATAGGGAGGAGGTCAGAGACCTGGCCGTGTAGTGCCAGGATAACAACCTCTCCCTCAACGTGATCAAGACAAAGGAGATGATTGTGGACTACAGGAAAAAGAGGACCGAGCACGCCCCCATTCTCATCGACGGGGCTGTAGTGGAGCAGGTTAAGCGCTTCAAGTTCCTTGGTGTCCACATCACCAACAAACTATCATGGTCCAAACACACCAAGACAGTCGTGAAGAGGGCATGACAAAGCCTATTCCCCCTCAGGAGACTGAAAAGATTTGGCATGGGTCCTCAGATCTTCAAAAAGTTATACAGCTGCACCATCGAGAGCATCCTGACTGGTTGCATCACCGCCTGGTATGGCAACTGCTTGGCCTCCGACCGCAAGGCACTACAGAGGGTAGTGGGGACGGCCCAATACATCACTGGGGCCAAGCTTCCTGCCATCCAGGACCTCTATATCAGGCGGTGTCAGAGGAAGGCCCTAAAAATTGTCAAAGACTCCAGCCACCCTAGTCATAGAATGTTCTCTCTGCTACCGCACGGCAAGCGGTACCGGAGCGCCAAGTCTAGGTCCAAAAGGCTTCTTAACAGCTTCGACCCCTAAGCCATAAGACACCTGAACAGCTAATCAAATCACCCGGACTATTTGCATTGTTCCTGAAACCACCCCCTCTTTTACGCTGCTGCTACTCTCTGTTTATTATCTATGCATAGTCACTTTAACTCTACCTACATGTACATATTACCTCAATTACCTCAACTAACCTGTGCCCCCGCACATTGACTCTGTACCGGTACCCCCTGTATATAGCCTCGCTACTGTTATTTTACTGCTGCTCTTTAATTATTTGTTATTTTTATTTTTTAGTTATCAATTTTTTTACTTAACACTTATTATTCTTAAATCTGCATTGTTGGTTAAGGGCTACACCAGTTGTATTCGGCGCATGTGACAAATAACATTTGAGTTGATTTGATTTGATTTGGTGGAATGAAATAGGAAGAGAACATACGTATAACATACTTGTGGTGCACACACGTCACATACTGTACGCATACTGTACACATACTGTACACATGCATATGGGCACACACACTCACGGACATATAAAGTTGCCTTTTACATCACACACACAACTACAAACACCCCCCCCCCTCAGAACAATGCTGCTTTCCACTCTATTTGACTGCAGCAGAATCTCCAGGGCTGGTTGAGGTTGGTCTAGACCACAGGCCTGGTTGAGGTTGGTCTAGACCCCAGCTTCAATGCTCCTGTTAGCATGACAGATGCATCCTGATGTCTTATCTCAGCCCTGGGACCAGAGGTAAGCACAAACACCATACATTAATTAACCTGTCATCTGCCTATAAATATACAGGGGCCTCACCCCACACTCACCCCTCAGCCCAGCCTCACCCCTCAGTCCAGTCTCACCCCTCAACCCAGCCTCAGCCATCATCCAGCCTCAGTACTCTACACTCTACTCCACTCGAGTCCTCGGACATAAACAGATGTCATGCTAAAACAGGTTTTGGAGAATTTATCCAAAATAAATAATACTGTGTACTATCTAAAATACCTCCACTTGAAATAATGTTAAGGATATGTGTCCTGTACTGTATGTAGGCTCTGTTAAAATAACATTTGATTTGATTTGTTATATGATGTCTGAGATGTGCCCCACGCTTCACAGGCTTCAGTGTGAGAGGTTGAGATGCTGTCTGTCAGCAGGCTGTGGTGTTGGGGGCAGGGTGGTGATGGTGAGGCCGCCAGATGTTTTGACAGGTCCTCTGAGAGCCTCAATCACAGTGTCAGGGTGTCACAGAGTGTCACATTCGGGGAGGCAGCCAATCACACACCACATGACATGTACTGTACTGTACTGTAGCCAGGCCTGGGAGCAGTACATAGATTCCTGGAAGAGAACAACAGAATACATTGAGCTAGATGGGATGGAACACACATACTCAGACAGAATATACAGACTCTAGACCAGTCTAGACGGAACACAGAATCTAAACGGGACATAATATAACCTGATGGATCACACAGACCTAGACGTTATAGTCATAGACCCCAAACAGAAAACACGGGTGTCTCAGAGCCTGACTGTGGGGGCTGATAATGATGAAGGGAACCTGAACACTGCTGTATCCAAATCATTGTCGAGTTAAAATAGGCTGATATGGGTTCATAATATGGGTTCATTATTGGTTCAGTTTAGGGAATGAAGGTAAGTCTTACATGTATTTCTCTCTCTCTCAACAGACAGATGAGCTGTGACCAGATCTAAACACAGTGTTTATGGTGATCTCTCCTACTGGAACTCAGCTGTCTTCACCTCTCAACCTTGTGACTGCTCCCATTCCACTGCCATAGAGATCTGCTCTCTCTCACCACAGCAGCAACAGCTAGCGATCCTAGCCAACGCTAGCACCATTTGAACCACCTCCAAACCTACTGTGGTTTGCTTTAACTGAATTGCCTTTCAATAACCTACACTCTTATACTTTAGAAGAAAGTAAGCAAGTAGGCTAACATAAGTTAAGTCTCTCTGACAGTTAAGTCGTCCTCCCCTGCAGTTCTTTGGTCAGGTCTTTGGCAGGACTTTTTGCCAATGAGCATTGGTTCCCAACTGACCTAGCTGGTTAGATAAAGGACAAATAAAGACAGATAGATAATTAATCAGAGTTAGCGAGATGGATGAGTCGTACAACAACAGCACGTCGCTGGTGAAGGGCGCCAAGGACATCGCCAAAGAGGCCAAACGCCACGCCGCCAAGAAGGTCAGCAAGGTCGTGAACCGCGCCGCAGACGAGTACTCCTCCCAACGCAACTACAGCCAGTTCCAGAACGAGGACGAAGACGATGACGACAGATGCTACGCCTACACGCAGCCCGACGGCAACGGCCACTTTCCCAGTAGCCGCACCGCCAACGACGAAGACGGGGAAGACTATGCCAGTGATGCCACGGAGGGTCACGATGATGAAGATGAGATCTACGAGGGGGAGTACCAGGGTGTACCTTCTTACACTGATGCGAAGCCCAGGGATGGACAGGTTTCTCTGGGTCAACCTGTCTCAGACAGCCTGAGGGACCGTAAGGAGCTGGAGCTGGAGAGGCAGGCGGACGAGGAGGAGCTGGCCCAGCAGTATGAGCTGATCATGCAGGAGTGTTGCCACGGCAGGTTCCAGTGGCAGTTGTTCTTCGTGCTGGGCATGGCGCTGATGTCAGATGGCGTGGAGGTGTTCGTGGTGGGGTTTGTCCTGCCCAGCGCCGAGATTGACATGTGTGTCCCAAATTCTGGAGCTGGGTGGCTAGGTAAGGAAGAGAATGTGTGTGTGCGTGTGTGTGTGGTGTGTTTGTGTTGGTAGAAACAGGGGAAGTGAGGACGTTGGATGACATTTACAACTGTATTCTCATTACGTTAGAACAGGTTGGGTTGACATGGCACCAAGTATTTGGATGCCTGAGTAGGAAGTGTTGTCTCTTCCACTGCACTAAAGAGCTGTGTGTGCTGTAAGTGTCTACAGAACCAAAAATTCCAAGGCCACACAAACCCAGATGCAGTTAACATGTTTTCTTGCTCACTTTTACTGTTTGTCACCATCATCATTAGTGGTAGTGGTGACTCACAGAGGAACTGGTGCATTCAGCAGACCTCTTCAATCACAGACCACACTCGCATGCGTGTGCTTGTGCGTGTGTGTATGTGTGTGTGTGTGCGCAGGCATTGGGACCCTGAATTATCCTTCCGGTGCAGTGTAGGTCTGATTGACCTGCCTCATCATGGCTCTGTATGAAGGTCATCCACACTGTTAGTGGAGAAGAGCTCCTAATTGACTGTCTGGTTAAGAAGAGAGCGAAATGGAGACAGTCAGAGAGAGAGAGAAAGAGAGAGAAAGAGAGAGGGAGTGATAGAGAGAGTCAGAGAGAGAGAGAGCGAGAGAGAGAGAGAAAGAGAAACAGTGCCGATTTATATAGTTCTGAAAGAGGCATAATGACTGACACCAGCGGGAAAACACCTTTCTTTTACTTGCTTTTCTTCATTCTTTCTATCCATTCCCATCCCTCTCTCTTTGTTACCTCCCTCTATCTCTTCTGCTTCCTCTTTCTAGCCCATGACCTCTCTATTACGTCCCCCCCCTGTTTATCATTGCTGTGGGGTGATGGGGAGATATGATTGTGAGGTAGTATAATCTCTGCAGCATTATGCCTCTCTGCAGTTTAACCATGCTAAGCTGTCTCAGGTACACCCACAGCAGCGTTTCCACAGGGGCTAAAGGGGCTTAGCCCCATCAGTTCAAACGTGTGCCCCCTCAGTTTTACTTTTATGTCCATATATAAAAATAGTAAAAAAGTTAAAATTATTGAGTGACAGAAAATCTGTATCTCTGCTGTGCTGTGTCAGCACAATGGACAGATAGCGCTGCAGTGTGTGTAAGAGGGCTATGGAAAGCCACGGGGGCAGTTAGGTATGACTCCTTTGGGTTTCCATACAAAGCGGGGAAAAAATGCTTCTCATCTCTGTGGTAGGCTAAGTGAATAATGTGATAACGTGATACGCCTCAGCCTGTATTTAGATTTAGATTTATAAGGGCGGGGTCAAGTTTTAAGGGCGCTGGTGAGGACGCCGTGTTGGATGCTGAACTGTCTCCTTCCTGCTCCTCTGCTCTTCCTATGGGAGTGTACATTTGTAAATATCAACTTTACCTTTGAAACACCAGCGCTGTGTAAATAAATCCAACACTCATTTGCACCTCTAACTGCCTGCCTCCTGCTGAATCTTTGTCCTTACGACTGCTAGAAGGCCCCTATTTTATGCTGACATAGCGCAGATTTTGCGGCAACCTGTCACTTCAAAAGCACTCAATGATCTCGGAGTCTCTGCATTTTAACTTTATGTTTGTGGTATAGCAGGATATAAGCAAAATTCAATATACAGTGCATTCGGAAAGTATTCAGACCCCTTGACTTTTTCCACATTTTGTTACGTTAATTTAATGGATAAAAAAAAGTAATCCTCTTCAATCTACACACAATACCCCATAATGATAAAGTGAAAGCCCAGACCCTAAGCACGCAGCCAAGACAATGCAGGAGTGGCTTCGGGACAAGGCAAGGGGTCTGAATACTTTCCGAAATCACTGTAATTCCAATGCAAGAAAGTCAAAAATGTTTGCCCCCTTGCAGATTTCAACTGCCCCCTTAGTCACTTTATCATGGTGCCGGGTCTGGGCTTTTGGCCATAAAGCTGATTAATCAAATTTGCACAGGCCAATTGTCTGGGAGAAGAAAAAAAATCCCATTGTGAAATAATGCATTTTAGCCTATTAATTGATTTAAATACCAGTCGATGTAGCATGAGAGCTGCTACAGCTCGTCAAACAGCTCATTCGTTGCTACTGGATGGAGTGAAACAAGGGCTTTTATAAGGGCATGTTAAAAACAGTTTTACATGCCACGATTAAAAAGAGCTACTATTTTTATTTCTCAACTGGTAATTGAAGCTTGCTTCCCATTCACCATTCAAGTGCATAGGCAACTAGGCAGGCTTCAGCGCATCACAGACCACTTTGCAATGAGCTGGAGGCAGTATGCATTTTGAAAACATATACTTAATTGTTGGAAACCTGAACCTTTTACTACATATTATGAGGCATGTCTTACCTTGCTTCAAAGTATTCTAGCCATAATCCAACTAAACATGCAGGCAATTATTTTATAAAGACTTCCATATGCCATTGAAATTAGTAGCCTCTCTCATGTTCTATTGGTTTTCAAATAAACGTTATTTAATTGTCCAGTAGCCAAAGGCACAATCCTAGTCATATTAGCAACCCATGCTAGTTGTTGCATATGTAGATCTCCCCTCTTTCTAAATATCGAACGGATATTTAAATCTATGTCTCATGAAACTGCTCGCATGTGCGGTGCGCTTTTCTGCTAATTGTATTATGGAAGAAACATTCACACGTAGTCTACTTCCTTGTGCGCATTGCTGTGCTTATAATGTGAAGAAATAATAGTTGATCAAAATGTTAAGCTAAATGTTTTGATCTGTTGCGTGAGCCGCCCCCTTTATAAAGTTTTTAGATGTAGCCTAGGCCTACTGGTTGTATGCATTTGGAATGGATCGTCCCACAACTGTCCCAGAGTCAGTTTGGAATAGGATATTTCTTTCTCACACAGAACGACAAGTTAACCAATAGAATAGGTTCACTTTTCTACTATGGGGGATAGTAGATTGACAAAGGCTAGTGATTTTGCTGTTTGTTACTCCTCTTGTTAACATCTTCAAATTGCGCATCGGAATTCAGCAAGAAGGACGCACACTGTTGCATCCTTCAGTTGCATGTTCTGGTAGGATAAATGACCATAATCTACAGTGAGCTCCGAAAGTATTGGGACAGTGACATATTTTTTTAAATTTCTAAACTGTTCACCCGAAATGGATGAAAATACCCTCAAATTAGAGTTGACAGTCTGCACTTTAACCTCATAGTCATTGTATCATTTAAAATGCTGGAGTACAGAACCAAAACAATAAAAAATGTGTCACTGTCCCAATACTTTTGGAGCTCACTGTAAATGTGATTTCTGTCATACTGAGCACTGTGGGTGGACGTCTTAATCAGGTTAAGCACCCAATGCATATGGGTCTGGGACATTTTTTAAATGGTAAATTAAAATTGTCCAAAACGAAAACCATGACCCAAGGAGAGCAGAGGATAGAGAGGAGGAGAGAGAGCGAGAGAAATACTACAGTTGAGTCTGCCTCTCTATAAAACACTCCCACACACTACCATCACTCCTCCCTCCATCCCTCTTCTTTTCGTGTTCTGTTTTGACTCGGGGTCAGCCGATAGAAGCAGAGAGCCTGATTGGAGGAGTGTGTGTGTGTGTGTGTGTGTGTGTGTGTTGCTACAAACACATGGACAGCTAAGTTTAATCAACACATTGGGGTGATAGATTGGCTGAGCTGGAGCTTGAGGTCAGCTAATTAAAACATCCAGGGACAGAGCACTGTCATTGTGTATGTGTGTTCGTTTGTGTGTGTGTTTGTTTGTGTGTGTGTGTTTTGGTTTTACTAATCAAAAGAGAACCATGGCGCTCTCCCAGAAGCTTGGCTGGGGCATAAAACCTGTGAATTCAGACAAACAAAGAGGTGTAATGGGTTCACACTCAAAAATGTTGCATAAAGCATACTTCATTATTAAATGTTTTTATTATTTTTTGGTTTTACTATCCTTGTGGGGACCAGAAGTCAAATCAAATCAAATCAAATTTCACTTGTCACATGTGCCGAATACAACTGGTGGAGACCTTACCGTGAAATACTTGCTTACCGAGCCCTTCTCTTAAAAAATAAAATAATAACAATTAAAATAAAATAGTTAGGGTTAGGAGTTAGGGTTAGGGGTTAAGGTTAAGGGTTATACGATTTTGAATGGGAATCAATTGTTTGATCCCCACAAGGATAGTAAAATAAACATTGTGTGTCTTTGTGTGTGTGTGTGTGTGTGTGTGTGTGTGTGTGTGTGTGTGTGTGTGTGTGTGTGTGTGAGTGAAATGGATGGGTTAAACTTTGACACACAAACCAGCTCTTGAACCCGTCATTTTGTGCCCTTTTCCAGTCTCCAAACACACACTTGTCTTTTCCCAGTCCCCCCTTTTGTCCCACAGTCTGATGTCAAGTGTTCTGTCCCCCCTGGCATGCCCCCTCCTGTCAGTAGAGTGGTGAAGACTGCAAGCAAGCAGGAGGCAGGATGCTAATACAAGTGTCTGCCTCAACATGATAATTGACTGCTTTGTTCTCTGACAGTCCTCCTGTCTCTGGCCTACAGCTGGAGTGTGTGTGTGTGTGTGTGGTGTGTGCGCGTGCGCGTGCGTGTGCGACTGTGTGTGCGTGTGTGAAACTTCCATTTGCTCAAATTAATCAAAATAGTTGTAATTAGTCTTCTAAGATGAGAGGACTGTACACCAATCCTGCTGTACACCAATCTAATCTTCCATGTGATAGCTGCTCTCAGACAGACCTGTCAATCAAACATCAATCTCAGGGGATTCCCTGGAGCTGGGGGAATCCCCAAAGAACATCCGGAAAGTTCCCAATGTTCCAGATCCCGAATTAGTCAGCTGTTTCTCTCTGCTGTCTTCCTTCCTTCTCCTCTCCTCTCATCCTTTCCTCTCATCCTCTCATCCGTCCTCAGAACAGATTGACGAAGAGCGTAGTGTGGAGGGGGAATTGTGCTTACACATAAGAGCTAATTATCATCGAGACAAACCCACCACGCCACTCCCCGCTCGCCGCTCTCGTCTCGTCTGGTGGAGATAGCAGCAGCAGCTAGCATTGAGTTAGTTAAGTAGTCCCTCTGGGCTTAAGGCAGAGCTGCACGCTGTACCGTACCGTTGTAGAGGAGAGAACAGACAGTCTGCAGAAATATCTCTCTAAAGCGTAGGATTTTCTTTCCATTCAATTAGACTAAGTGCAGCTTCATTTGAATAATGCTTATTACGCAGTCATTTTTTTGTGGAAGTGAATGTCCCTTCCAGCAATTATCCGAAAAATGCGTGTGAATCGCATTATTTCACAGCAGGTGTTGTGGTAAGAAGTAAAGACTGAATTGCACCCTTTGTAGAACCCAGTCATCAATGACTGGGAATAGAAGAACCCTTTTTGGTTTCCATGTAGAACCCTTAACACAGAGGGTTCTACATGGATCCCAAAAGGGTTCTACCTGGAACCAAAAAGTGTTCTCCTATGGGGACAGCCGAAGAACCCTTTTTTCTAAGAGTGAACTATCCAGTCTCCATACGGTAGTGCTGCCAGTGTAGAGAGTATTCTGTCCCGTGGTCTCTGCTATAGACTCCAGTGTCTGTTGTCACTTATAATGAATAAGTGTCTCTCACCATCCCGTCTGTACGTCGCGATAAGGCCCTCTACCTTCAGCCAATCAGTCCCATCACCTCCACGCAAAGAAGGGAAAACAGAAGTGATGAAAACAGGGAGGGGCTGGGTTGTGGTCTCTGTGCTTCCCGGCAGTGATGAGGCACAGTGTCGGTAAACGATCGCCTCTCCCCACAAACACTGATTATAATGAACATATCTAGACTCTGGAGTGAAGTGGATTATATACTGCCCCCCCCCTCTCCCCCTCCTCCACTTCCCAGTGTCCCTTGGGACTTGAAGAGATTTCCGTTAGCTGTGTTTAGGTCAGTGTTGTGGTATGAAACGCTCCCATATCAATTGCTGCTGTCAGAACATAATATTTTTTAGGTTTAGTTAGTGTTGTGATATGAAGTGATATTCCATGGTGAGGTTCAGTTAGTGTTGTGATATGAAGTGATACTCCATGGTGAGGTTGAGTTAGTGTTGTAATATGAAGTGATATTCCATGGTGAGGTTCAGTTAGTGTTGTAATATGAAGTGATATTCCATGGTGAGGTTCAGTTAGTGTTGTAATATGAAGTGATATTCCATGGTGAGGTTCAGTTAGTGTTGTAATATGAAGTGATATTCCATGGTGAGGTTCAGTTAGTGGTGTGATATGAAGTGATACTCCATGGTGAGGTTCAGTTAGTGTTGTTGCTTCATGGCTGCCTGTGTGTTCTTTATTACTGTAGGTCTGTCTGTCTGCAGGTCTCCAGGCACTGTCCAATCAGATCGACCAGATCTCTGTGACCCCTCAGTGGTTTATCAATGACTGGGAATTTACAGGCCTGATTAAATCACACCATGTGACCTTGTCTGCTCTGGACTTTACTAATACAGTCAGACATGCAGCAATTCTGACACAGTTTCTGCATGAGACACACCTGCTTCTGTGTGTGTGTGTGTGTGTGTGTGTGTTCTCCCTAGTCAGCGGTTTGCCTTAAAAAATAAACATGTTTGGTCCAGATGTTTCAGATCATTCTCAAGTGCAGCAAAATATAAACGGGTCACTTAAAAAGCTAACACTGTGTAAATGAATATTTTCTCCCTCCCTCCCTCCCTCCCTCCCTCCCTCCCTCCCTCCCTCCCTCCCTCCCTCCCCTCCCTCCCTCCCTCCCTCCCTCCCTCCCTCCCTCCCTCCCTCTATTTCTTTCTTTCTCTTTCTCTGTCTGTCTGTCTGTCTGTCCCCCCTCCCCTCCCTCCCTCCCTCCCTCCCTCCCTCCCTCCCTCCCTCCCTCCCTCCCTCCCTCCCTCTATTTCTTTCTTTCTCTTTCTCTGTCTGTCTGTCCCTCCCCTCCTCTCCCTCCCCTCTCTTCTCTCACTTTCTCCCAATCTCTTTTTCTTTGTCTGTCTCGCCCCCCTTCTCTTTCTCTCCCTCCCCCTCCCTCCCTCCCTCTTTCTCTGCAGGTAGCATAGTGTACCTAGGGATGATGGTGGGGGCGTTCTTCTGGGGGGGTCTTTCAGACAGGGTGGGCCGTAAACAGTGCCTGCTCATCGCTATGTCTGTCAACGGCTTCTTCTCCTTCCTCTCCTCCTTCGTCCAGGGGTACGGCATGTTCCTCTTCTGCCGCATGTTTTCCGGTTTCGGGTGAGTGGTGTCCATTCTGTTCTATTCTATTTTACTTTATTCTACTCTACTCTAATTTACTCTTCTATACTGTACTATTCTGCACTCTATTCTGCACTATTCTATTTTATTCTATTCTACTCTATTATAGTCCTTTATAATGTGTCATGTATTGTAGAACATTTCCTTCCTCTAAAACTCTTCTAGAACATTTCAAAGGTTCCATTAAGTTTTCTTCCACTAAAAGTCTTCCATGATGACATTGTGTTCTACTTGGTTGAGAGGTAGTGGTTTCTTTGACCATGCAGTACTCTTCCAGACAGAGCTCTATTCCCACGGCTCTCTCCCTCTCTCGCTATTCTCCACTCATCCATGGCTGTCTCGCTCTCTCTCCCTCTAGTCTTCACTCCTCCACAGCTGTCTCTTTCCCTCTCTCTCTCCCTCTCTCCCTCTAGTCTCCACTCCTCCAAAGTCAGAGAACAGTACAGGAGGTTATTCGAGCTGTCTGGCATCAGCCCTTCCCCTGAGTGGGAGAGAGAAATTACAGAGAGAAACACAAACATTAGCTAAACATTCATAGCAGACTAAATGTCCTTATGTTTCTGTTTTATGACTGATTCAAAGTATGTTTGTATCATCACAAGATGTCACAGACTTTGACATTGGAAAGAAAACCTTTTCTTTGTCATGAATAAATTACTAGACAATAGGTAGAAACAGTGAAACAGACTTTGGCAAAATAGAATAAGAGGTTCTGCAAAAATATTAATAACCAGATGTGACTGACAGAATATATGCCCTTAACACTTAGCTAATACACTCTCTGCACAATTGATTACCTGGTGATTGTTGCACATGATTGTTATACATAGCCAGACCTGGCTTTCTGGTGCGTTTGCATTAATACAAGTCAATTTAATTTAATCTGAGACAGCCTGTTTTGGCACGAGGGGATTCATAGATCACAGGACTGTTTCTAAAGCAAGGCTTCAGTTGGACAGAGCTGTCAAAATCAATATGCAACAACACAATGGATTTACACTCAGCTGTGGTATTAGTGAGTGTGTGTGTATGTTTGTGTGTGTATGTGTGTATGTGTGTGTGTGTGTGTGTGTGTGTGTGTGTGACTCATAGACGACACCTTATTGCAGCTCCACTCTCCCAGTCCTACATATTGCCAGCACACGCTATCTAATACAATGCCTGTCTTACTTTTATTTCCATGTCGATTTAAAGACTCTTCTCTCCTCATCTCTTTGATAGCCACCAGCTGGTGGTTTCCGCTGGCTGTCAGACAAATTATAACATTTGCATTGAATTGCTACACTTAGCATACATTCCCTTCTCAATGAGACAGAAAAAGAAAGAAAAAGCATCATTCAAGCTTCCTACAGATGTAGGATCTAATTTGATCAATGTTTTGTTGATGAGAATTTTCTTGCACAGCACGAAATGCTAACTTGTAGTGAATTCAAGGCTTCTAAAGTTTGTAATTTCTACTTAAAAATGTTAGACTTGATTTGCCCTAACATCAAATGTATTAGCCCCTACAAAAAATGCCATTAGTTTCTCCAGCTGCCCAAAGACCACACAAACACACACACAGTGATGTTTTGAAAGTGACCCGACTGTGATGGGTGATTTGAAGGAGTCAGGTGCAGGAGGGTAAATCACAGAATAACAGAATTTATTCCGGAATACAAAGTTACGCAGAGTTACGCAAAACAGGCGCACTGGATCCAACAAGGCACACAGGGAAAATAACCCGGCAATACAAAATACAAGGAGCTTAACCCGAGCTTCACTCTCCTCACAATAAACAATTCAATTTCAATTTAAGGGCTTTATTGGCATGGGAAACGTGTGTTAACATTGCCAAAGCAAGTGAAGTAGATAGTAAACAAAAGTGAAATAAACAATCAATATTAACAGTAAACATTACACTCAGAAGTTTCAAAAGAATAAAGACATTTCAAATGTCATATTATGTATATATACAGTGTTGTAACAATGTGCAAATAGTTAAAGTACAAATGGGAAAATAAATAAACATAAATATGGGTTGTATTTACAATGGTGTTTGTTCTTCACTGGTTGCCCTTTTCTTGTGGCAACAGGTCACAAATCTTGCAGCTGTGATGGCACACTGTGGTTTTTCACCCAGTAGATAAGGGAGTTTATCAAAATTGGGTTTGTTTTCAAATTGTTTGTGGATCGCTGTAATCTGAGGGAAATATGTGTCTCTAATATGGTCATACATTTGACAGGAGGTTAGGAAGTGCAGCTCAGTTTCCACCTCATTTTGTGGGCAGTGTGCACATAGCCTGTCTTCTCTTGAGAGCCAGGTCTGCCTACGGCGGCCTTTCTCAATAGCAAGGCTATGCTCACTGAGTCTGTACATAGTCAAAGCTTTCCTTAAGTTTGGGTCAGTCACAGTGGTCAGGTATTCTGCCACTGTGTACTCTCTGTTTAGGGCCAAATAGCATTCTAGTTTGCTCTGTTTTTTTGTTTGTTCTTTCCAATGTGTCAAGTAATTCTCTTTTTGTTTTCTCATGATTTGGTTGGGTCTAATTGTGTTGTTGTTGTTGTTGTTGTTGTCCTGGGGCTGTGTGGGGTCTGTTTGTGTTTGTGAACAGAGCCCCAGGACCAGCTTACTTAGGGGACTCTTCTCCAAGTTCATCTCTCTGTAGGTGATGGCTTTGTTATGGAAGGTTTGGGAATCGCTTCCTTTTAAGTGGTTATAGAATTTAACGGCTCTTTTCTGGATTTTGATAATTAGCGGGTATTGGCCTAATTCTGCTCTGCATGCATTATTTGGTGTTTTACGTTGTACACGGAGGATGTTTTTGCAGAATTCTGCATGCAGCGTCTCAATTTGGTGTTTGTCCCATTTTGTGAATTCTTGGTTGGTGAGCGGACCCCAGACCTCAGAACCATAAAGGGCAATGGGTTCTATAACTGATTCAAGTATTTTTTGCCAGATCCTAATTGGTATGTCAAATTTTATGTTCCTTTTGATGGCATAGAAGGCCCTTCTTGCCTTGTCTCTCAGATCGTTCACAGCTTTGTGGAAGTTACCTGTGGTGCTGATGTTTAGGCCGAGGTATGTATCGTTTTTTGTGTGCTCTAGGGCAACGGTGTCTAGATGTAATTTGTATTTGTGGTCCTGGCAACTGGACCTTTTTTGGAACACCATTATTTTTGTCTTACTGAGATTTACTGTCAGGGCCCAGGTCTGACAGAATCTGTGCAGAAGATCTAAGTGCTGCTGTAGGCCCTCCTTGGTTGGTGACAGAAGCACCAGATCATCAGCAAATAGAAGACATTTGACTTCAGATTCTAGTAGGGTGAGGCCGGGTGCTGCAGACTGTTCTAGTGCCCTCGCCAATTCGTTGATATATATGTTGAAGAGGGCGGGGCTTAAACTGCATCCCTGTCTCACCCCACGGCCCTGTGGAAAGAAATGTGTGTGTTTTTTGCCAATTTTAACTGCACACTTGTTGTTTGTGTACATGGATTTTATAATGTCGTATGTTTTTCCCCCAACCCCACTTTCCATCAATTTGTAAACAATCCCACACAAAGACAAGGGGGCAGAGGGAACACTCATACAGGTACTGATGAGGGATATTAACCAGGTGTGTGTAATAAACAAGACAAAACAAATGGAATGATGAGATGAGGAGCGGCAGTGGCTAGAAGGCCGGTGACGACGAACACCAAAGCCTGCCCGAACCCTGTTTCTCAGTTAATTGTGTATATATTTCTGACTAGATTTCCCGTGTCCCCGTGCAGGATTGGTGGGGCGGTTCCCATCGTGTTCCCCTACTTTGCGGAGTTCCTGGCGAGGGAGAAGAGAGGAGAGCACCTGAGCTGGCTCTGCATGTTCTGGATGATAGGAGGGATCTATGCCTCTGCCATGGCCTGGCTCATCATACCACACTACGGTGAGTGACTGACAGCCCTGTCTTATCAAGCTGCAGGATTATTTGAGTGACACACCTAGGTCACCAATCATAACCATTCTACGGCGGGTGACAACATTTGTCATAACAAGTGATTGATATCAGCAGCCTAGGCCTGAACCAGGGATGGACACGTCTATTGGAACAGCAACCAAAGGGGGAAAGAAAAGAAAGGGAGATAGAGAGGGGATTCGAGAAAGAAAAGGACAAGGGAGAAGGCAGAGATTAGAAAGAGCGAGACGAGATAGAAAGAGAGCCTTACTGTTTCCTGTTTTTATGACTGATTCAAAGTAATGTTTGTATCATCACAAGATGTCACAGACTTTGACATTGGAAAGAAAACCTTTTTTTGTCATGAATAAATTACTAGACAATAGGTAAACATTGAAACAGACTTGGCAAATAATAAAGAGGTTCCTGCAAAAATATTAATAACCAGATGTGACTGACAGAATATATGCCCTTAACTCTTAGCTAATACACTTTCTGCACAATTGATTACCTGTTGATTGTTGCACATGATTGTTATACATAGCCAGACCTGGCTTTATGGTGCGTTTGCATTATACAAGTCAATTTAATTTAATCTGAGACAAGCCTGTTTTGGCACGAGGGGATTCATAGATCACAGGACTGTTTCTAAAGCAAGGCTTCAGTTGGACAGAGCTGTCAAAATCAATCTGCAACAACACAATGGATTTACACTCAGCTGTGGTATTAGTGAGTGTGTGTGTATGTGTGTGTGTGTGTGTGTGTGTGTGTGTGTGTGTGTGTGTGTGTGTGTGTGTGTGTATGTGTGTGTGTGTGTGTGACTCATAGACGACACCTTATTGCAGCTCCACTCTCCCAGTCCTACAAATTGCCAGCACACGCTATCTATACAATGCCTGTCTTACTTTTATATTTCCATGTCGATTTAAAGACTCTTCTCTCCTCATCTCTTTGATAGCCACCAGCTGGTGGTTTCCGCTGGCTGTCAGACAAATTATAACATTTGCATTGAATTGCTTACACTTAGCATACATTCCCTTCTCATGAGACAGAAAAAGAAAGAAAAAGCATCATTCAAGCTTCCTACAGATGTAGATCTAATTTGATCAATGTTTGTTGATGAGAATTTTCTTGCACAGCAACGAAATGCTAACTTGTAGTGAATCAAGGCTTCTAAAGTTTGTAATTTCTACTTTAAAATGTTAGACTTGATTTGCCCTACAAAAAATGCCATTAGTTTCTCCAGCTGCCCAAAGACCACACAAACACACACACAGTGATGTTTTGAAAGTGACCCGACTGTGATGGGTGATTTGAAGGGTCCAGGTTGCAGGAGGGTAAATCACAGAATAACAGAATTTATCCGGAATACAGAGTTACGCAGAGTTACGCAAAACAGGCGCACTGGATCCAACAAGGCACACGGGGAAAATAACCCGGCAATACAAAATACAAGGAGCTCAACCCGAGCTTCACTCTCCTCACAATAAACAATCCCACACTAAGACAAGGGGGCAGAGGGAACACTCATACAGGTACTGATGAGGGATATTAACCAGGTGTGTGTAATAAACAAGACAAAACAAATGGAATGATGAGATGAGGAGCGGCAGTGGCTAGAAGGCCGGTGACGACGAACACCAAAGCCTGCCCGAAACCCTGTTTCTCAGTTAATTGTGTATATATTTCTGACTAGATTTCCCATGTCCCCGTGCAGGATTGTGGGCGGTTCCCATCGTGTTCCCCTACTTTGGGCGGAGTTCCTGGCGAGGGAGAAGAGAGGAGAGCACCTGAGCTGGCTCTGCATGTTCTGGATGATAGGAGGGATCTATGCCTCTGCCATGGCCTGGCTCATCATACCACACTACGGTGAGTGACTGACAGCCCTGTCTTATCACGCTGCAGGATTATTTGAGTGACACACCTAGGTCACCAATCATAACCATTCTACGGCGGGTGACAACATTTGTCATAACAAGTGATTGATATCAGCAGCCTAGGCCTGAACCAGGGATGGACACGTCTATTGGAACAGCAACCAAAGGGGGAAAGAAAAGAAAGGGAGATAGAGAGGGGATTCGAGAAAGAAAAGGACAGAGAGGAGAGAAGGCAGAGAGTTAGAAAAGAGAGCGAGAGACGGATAGGAATGATAAAAGGACAAGGAAGGAAAGAAAGTCTGCTACTGTCGTCTGTCTGTCTGTCTGTCTGTCTGTCTGTCTGTCTGCTACTGTCTGTCTGTCTGTCTGTCTGTCTGTCTGTCTGTCTGTCTGTCTGTCTGTCTGTCTGCTACTGTCTACTGTCTGTCTGCTATTGTCTGCTGTCTGTCTGCTGTCTGTCTGTCTGCTACTGTCTACTGTCTGTCTGTCTGTCTGCTATTGTTTGCTGTCTGTCTGCTACTGTCTACTGTCTGTCTTGTCTGTCTGCTACTGTCTACTGTCTGTCTGTCTGCTACTGTCTACTGTCTGTCTGTCTGCTACTGTCTACTGTCTGTCTGTCTGTCTGCTACTGTCTACTGTCTGTCTGCTACTGTCTGCTCAGGGGCATGTTGCTATCATCCTGATCATCAGGCATAATCACGTTTACCCCTGTAGACCTGTAGGCCCAACGGACCAATGTCTGGACAAGGACAATATGCGTGTAGTCTGTGCAGGCAGGTGTTTAATTATCAGTGAAGTAATTGATTTTCCATAAAAGACAGTTGAGTGCAGAAGATATAAAAGCACTCATCATAAAACACAAGGCATATCTTCACACAAACACACACACACACACACACACACACACACACACACACACACACACACACCACACACACACACGAGAACGTGTGTGGTAATAGGTTCCGCCGCAGTGGGCTCTTCATTGACTGCTGCTGGCCAGAGGCTGAAGGACTCCTCCTCTTCCTGAAAAGCCGCAGTGTGTGTGTGGGTGTGGGTGTGGGTGTCCATGCGTGCGTGCATGTGTATGTGTTCGCAGAATTAAGTGGAGGGGCGGTCCGTAAATGTTTTGTGTAAAAAAAGTGTAATGTGTATACACCCATGTGGGTGTGTGAGTGTTTTTATGCCTCTGTGTGTCTGTGTGTATATGTGTAGGTGTTTATGTCATGGGCATTGTGCTGTGACCAAGGACACTGCAGGTGTGTGTGAGTGAAGTGTGACATCACATTGTCCTGCGTAGCGCAGCTCCATAAATCTAGGTGTGTGTGAGTGAGTCAGTCAGCCATACCCTCCAGTCCATTATAGCTGTAATCTCCCTAATGAGATTTGTACTGGTAGATTCTAATGCAGCCCCATGGGCATCACATACACACAAACACACACACGAACAACCCCCAACAGATTTGGTTTACAATACTGTGACATCACTTGAACTCCCCCTCACACCACTGGCATCTCCCTGACAGACCCCCATCTCCCACACACACACATTCATGACATCATTACAATTTCACTCGACAGCTCTGTGGCTTTCTCCCTCTGCTCTAGGGGCTATCCCGAATACCACCCACGCACTGACTCTAAACACACCAACTGTCTGGATGTTTGTCTTTATTCAGATGCTGCTGAGGTGTATGTAGGCCTATATTCCTTTCTGTAAGAAAGGGAAGAATATATACAGAGAAGAAGAGATGGAGAGAGAAAACAAAGAATAAGAGAGAGGAGAGAGAGCGAGAGAGAGAGAGAGAGAGAGAGAGATAGAGAGAGAGAGAGAGAACGAGAGAGTGAGAGAGAGAGAACGAGAGAGTGAGATAGAGAGAGAGAACGAGAGAGTGAGAGAGAGTGAGAGATAGAGAGAGAGAACGAGAGAGAGGACTCTCTCCGCTCGCTCTCCCTCTCTCGCTCGCTCTTCTCCTGTCCCTCTCTCGCTCTCTCGCCTTCGCTCGCCTCTCCTTCTCGTCGACTCCCTTGCGCGCGCTCGCTCTCCTGTCTCGCTCCGCTCCCTTCTATCTAGCGCGCGAGATCGATGCACATCATATATTGTTAGCTCTTGCGTTGCTATCCTCAGAGATTGCTGTATCAATTAGTCTCACTAAATGCTTCCAATAAGAATTGAACAACACACTTTGTCTTTCTCTCCCCCTCTCTTTCTCTCTCTTACTCTCTCTCCCTCGCTCATTTCCTTCACCATATGGTGTTCTTCTGTCTCTAGATTCTCATTACCATCATCACGCTGCATCTCATGTGGAAATAGAAGTGTGTGTTTGGAATAATTCCCATAAGAGAGACTATTATAAAATGGGTTGATGATTTAAAGGTACTTGGAGGCACTTTAAGATTTCAGGCCTTCATACTTTTACTTTTTATACAAAAAAAAAACGCGTAATATTAAACATCTAATATGTATTGCTGTGATCCTTTCTCTTGCATCTGATTGGTGGTTGTGTGTGTGTGTGCAGGATGGAGTTTCAGTATGGGCTCCGCCTACCAGTTCCACAGTTGGAGAGTATTTGTGGTGGTGTGTGCTCTACCCTGTGTGTGTGCTGTCGTAGCACTCACCTTCATGCCCGAGAGCCCACGATTCTTCCTAGAGGTAAGGTGTGTGTGTGTGTGTGTGTGTGTGTGTGTGTGTGTGTGTGTGTGTGTGTGTGAGTGTGTGCATAACGCCCCAACAGATCCACAGATCTCGCAATCTCAATTGCACTTCACACTGCCCTCTCCCACCTGGACTAGAAGGTAAATAACTATGGGAGAATGCTGTTCATAGACTAGAGGTCACACCACAGTCCCCTCCAAGCTCATATCCAAGCTGGGGACCCTGGGACTGAACACCTCCCTCTGCAACTGGATCCTGGACTTTCTGACAGGCCGGCCCCAGGTGGTGAGGTTAGGCAACAACACCTCCGCCACGCTGACCCTCAACACGGGGCCCCTCAGGGGCGTGTGCTTAGTCCCCTCCTGTACTCCCTGTTCACCCATGACTGCGTAACCGCGCATGACTCCAGCACCATCATCAAGTTTTCTGACGACACGACGGTGGCAGGCCTGATCACAGACGGCGATGAGACAGCCTACAGGGAGGAGGTCATAGACTTAGAAGTGTGGTGCCAGGACAACAACAAGGAGCTGATCATGGACTACATGAGAAAGAGGGGAGAGCACACCCCCATCCACATCGACAGGACTGTAGTGGAGCGGGTCGAGAGCTTCACATTCCTTGGCGTCCACATCACTAAGGACTTAACATGGTCGACACACACCCGCACAGTCATGAAGAGATCACGACAGCGCCTCTTCCCCCTCAGGTGGCTGAAAAATTGTCATGGGCCCTCGGATCCTCAAAAAGTTCTACAGCTGCACCAATCGAAAGCATCTTGACTGGCTGCATCACCACTTGGTATTGCAAATGAACCGCCTTCGACCGCAAAGCGCTACAGAGGGTGGTGTGGAAAGCCCAGTACATCACTGGGGCCGAGCTCCCTGCCATCCAGGACCTCTATATCAGGCAGTGTCAGAGGAAGGCCCGACAAATCGCCAAGACTCCAGCCACCCAAGCCATAGACTGTTCACTCTGCTTCCGTCCGGCAAACGGTACCGGAGCATTGGCTCTTGGACCAACAGGCTCCGAGACAGCTTCTACCCCCAAGCCATAAGACTGCTAAATAGTTAATTAAATTGACTATCTGGACTATCTGCACTGATCTTGCACTGAATCTACACACACACACAGGACTATATATTCACACTATATACACACTCACTCACACACACTACACTGACACACTCACACAAAACCCACTCACATTATTATACACTACATACTGTACACATGAGGTGACTACATCATGAAGCTGGTTGAGAGAATGCCAAGAGTGTGCAAAGCTGTCATCAAGGCAAAGGGTGGCTACTTTGAAGAATCTAAATCTAAAATAAATGTTGATTTGTTTAACACTTTTTTGGTTACTACATGATTCCATATGTGTTATTTCATAGTTTTGATGTCTTCAGTATTATTCTACAATGCAGAAAATAGTAAAAATAAAGAAAAACTCTTGAATGAGTAGGTGTGTCCAAACTGGTACTGTATATGTCGAGTTTTTAAATGTTTTCTCTAAATAAGCTTTGCTTTACAATTAAAGGTCAAATACTCTGCATTTCAAAAAGTCAGCAAAAGTCTAATTAATTCAGGGCTTGTGAAGTTATACCTAGGCTAAATATAAGCCTTCCACAACCATAAGAACCACTAATAATTTAATTATTTCATCACAACATTTTAACCTGCTTCTTTTTTTGCAATAATCACTGATCTGGCTTTCAAGTCTGTCAATGAAAATTCCCATTTGTTTACAAATTTAACCAGAACCATGCATAATGTACATTCACTAATAATGACCAACTTCTGGTAGTAGGCATTATAGAAAATTAACACAGGTCTCATAAACAATCTCTCAAGCACAAGCCCACCTGCTAGTGAGTAGCCAGCTAACCTTTATATTTAGTCTAGCCAACTTGGATCTATTTGCTAGCTAACAAGGTAGAAAAGTTGAATTGTTATGAACACACACTTCTGTCTGTCTCCCAACTGTTTGAACAGAATGCTAGCCTGTCCACTTTGTTCAGATGTTGAAATCAAGTAGCCTACCTTATTTCTCAGAATGAGAACAAGTTGCCAATTCCTTAAATAATTGTGTTTTATGCTTATTGCACATTTATAAAACACAGACTAGACAGCTAGTGTAACTGTCTTTGGCTAAAATGCTGTTAGCGGTACATGGTACCGCAATGCTGCGCGCAACAGAAACTGAGCATTCATTTTCCAGAATCAATGTTCATTGATACACCCGTTTTAGTAGGGTCTGCTCTTCGTGCAATTTGAGGAGTTGAAACATAGAAACTGTATCTTCTATTAGAATAAAATAATGTCTCAATGTGTTTCAGTGTCCATATGACTGATTCTGTTGGACCAAACCTCCAATGAAAATAGCAAGTTGAAACCTTATAGCTCAGTGTTTGAAACCGTTTGTTGTCAGAGAGGAAGAAGTGATCTTTCATCTTTGTTGCTGTGAGTGGCAGGGGGAGAGGCTTTGTGTGGGGGGGAGGGGCTTGGTGGGTAAATGGGAAGGTGCACGGTCACAGCAGAAGGAGCGAAGGAGACGAGACCAAAAAGACAACATGAGAACAAGCTGACATAAACGCTCATAAAAACAAAGAAAAGGCATTTGGTATATTGCGCAAAAACATACATTCGAATTCATTTGATATATCGCTCAGCCCTAATACACACACACATACATAGTACACACACTTTTACACTCATCATATGCTGCTGCTACTCTGTTCTATATTTCACTCTTCTTCTTATTATCTGTCCTGATGCCTAGTCACTTTACCCTGCCTTCATGTACATATCTACCTCAAATACCTTGTACCTCTTTACATTGATCTGGTACTGGTACTCCCTGTATATAGCTCCATTCTTGTGTATTTTATTTTATTTCTCATGTTGCTATATATATATATATACATTTTTTATTTTTAAGGGCTCGTAAGCAAGCATTTCACAGTAAAGTCTACACCCATTGTATTCGGCGCATGTGACAAATACAATTTGATTTGTGTTTGTAACCCTCCTCTCTGTGTTTAGATGGGTAAACATGACGAAGCATGGATGGTGCTGAAACAGATCCACGACACCAACATGAGGGCCCGCGGAGAACCAGAGAAAGTCTTCACTGTGAGTATACAGTACCTCTCTCTTTGTCACTCTCTCGCTCTCTTTCTTCCTCTCTCTCTCTTTCCCTCTTTTTCTCTCTCGCTCTCCTTGACATTCACGCACACACACACACACACACACACACACACACACACACACACACACACACACACACACACACACACACACACACACACACACACACACACACACACACACACACACACACACACACGTAGTGCATTGACTCTGAGTCTCCCCCTGTAGGTGAACAGGATAAGCTCCCTAAGCATCTGGATGAGTTGGTAGAGATGCAGTCAGACTCAGCCAACCCAGTTGCCAAAGTCCTCTTCAGGATCAGGACTGAACTCAGAGGGGTAGGACTGTGGGTTTTAGTGATGGGTAGGAACAAAAAAACAGATTATATGAAGTCATTATGAATAATGACTTTTATTTTGGTATTTATCCCTCTCTCTCTCTCTGTCTCTCTCTTTCTGTCTCTCGTCCTTTCTCTCTCTAGATCTGGTTAACATTCATGAGATGTTTCAACTACCCAGTGAAAGACAACACCATTAAACTGGCCTTCGTGTGGTTCACACTATCTTTTGGGTAAGATTGTTCTCTCCACTCCCCTCTGTTCAGTAAATTAATGTGTTGAAGTGTTGCTCTGCTCCCAGCAGGACCTATCCCAGTTATTAGTTTCTCCGGAGTCTGTGTGTTCATAATGAAGTGACTGACTGACTCTGAGGTAGAGCCAGTGTCTCTCAGATAGCTCTATGATGAATGCTAACATGCTAACTAGGAAAGAGACCGCCCATCTAAATAAAGCACCCTTAGGAACATCAATGCTAAATCGCAATACTTTTCAAATGTATCCACAACATAACAAATCACACAACACAGCTAGAGTCAGATCCCTGGAATGTTACCTACTCTATATCCTAACAAGATACTGTTAAGAATATTTTTCCTGTGTGCGGTTACTACTGTCTGTCAGTAATGTCATATCCTATGCAGGTACTATGGCCTATCAGTGTGGTTCCCTGATGTCATCCATCACCTGCAGTCTGATGAGTATGCCTCTAGAGTGAAGACGCACAACAACGAACGTACAGAAGACTTCACCTTTAACTTCACCCTGGAGAACCAGATACACACTAACGGAGTGTTCGTCAATGACAGGTACTGTGTCAAAACGCACGCACACACACCAATGTAGTCTTCATCAATGATGGGTATTGTAACCAAAAACTCACTTAAAGAGACTTGAGTTAAACAGGCTCTATCAAACCCCCAGTTTCTCCAGTTAAAGTAGGCTATCCCATTCCAGGATAGCAGTGTCATCTGTCATTCCCTTTCCTTTATCTACACCGCCTCCAGGAAATAAAAAAACGTATCTCTCGCCCTCTCCTTCTCTCTACCGTTCCTTCTCTGTCGGTTTCTCTCTCCCTCTCTCTAACGTTCCTTCTCTGTCTATCTCTCTCTCCCTCTCCTTCTCTCTCTCCCTCTCCCCTCTCTCACCTCTCTTTCTCTCTCTTCCCCCTCTCTCTCTCTCTCGCTCCTCTCTCACATCAATATGTTGTACTTATACTATGCTCCTCCCCTCTACCTCTAACATAACAACACAACACAACATACAGTGGGGGAAAAAAGTATTTAGTCAGCCACCAATTGTGCAAGTTCTCCCACTTAAAAAGATGAGAGAGGCCTGTCATTTTCATCATAGGTACATGTCAACTATGACAGACAAAATGAGAAAAAAAAATCCAGAAAATCACATTGTAGGATTTTTTATGAATTTATTTGCAAATTATGGTGGAAAATAAGTATTTGGTCAATAACAAAAGTTTCTCAATACTTTGTTATATACCCCTTGTTGGCAATGACACAGGTCAAACGTTTTCACAAGGTTTTCACACACTGTTGCTGGTATTTTGGCCCATTCCTCCATGCAGATCTCCTCTAGAGCAGTGATGTTTTGGGGCTGTCGCTGGGCAACACGGACTTTCAACTCCCTCCAAAGATTTTCTATGGGGTTGAGATCTGGAGACTGGCTAGGCCACTCCAGGACCTTGAAATGCTTCTTACGAAGCCACTCCTTCGTTGCCCGGGAGGTGTGTTTGGGATCATTGTCATACTAAAAGACCCAGCCACGTTTCATCTTCAATGCCCTTGCTGATGGAAGGAGGTTTTCACTGAAAATCTCACGATACATGGCCCCATTCATTCTTTCCTTTACATGGATCAGTCGTCCTGGTCCCTTTGCAGAAAAACAGCCCCAAAGCATGAAGTTTCCACCCCCATGCTTCACAGTAGGTATGGTGTTCTTTGGATGCAACTCAGCATTCTTTGTCCTCCAAACACGATGAGTTGAGTTTTTACCAAAAAGTTATATTTTGGTTTCATCTGACCATATGACATTCTCCCAAACTTCGGACGGGCCTGGACATGTACTGGCTTAAGCAGGGGGACACGTCTGGCAATGCAGGATTTGAGTCCCTGGCGGAGTAGTGTGTTACTGATGGTAGGCTTTGTTACTTTGGTCCCAGCTCTCTGCAGGTCATTCACTAGGTCCCCCCGTGTGGTTCTGGGATTTTTGCTCACCGTTCTTGTGATCATTTTGACCCCACGGGGTGAGATCTTGCGTGGAGCCCCAGATCGAGGGAGATTATCAGTGGTCTTGTATGTCTTCCATTTCCTAATAATTGCTCCCACAGTTGATTTCTTCAAACCAAGCTGCTTACCTATTGCAGATTCAGTCTTCCCAGCCTGGTGCAGGTCTACAATTTTGTTTCTGGTGTCCTTTGACAGCTCTTTGGTCTTGACCATAGTGGAGTTTGGAGTGTGACTGTTTGAGGTTGTGGACAGGTGTCTTTTATACTGATAACAAGTTCAAACAGGTGCCATTAATACAGGTAACGAGTGGAGGACAGAGGAGCCTCTTAAAAGAAGAAGTTACAGGTCTGTGAGAGCCAGAAATCTTGCTTGTTTGTAGGTGACCAAATACTTATTTTCCACCATAATTTGCAAATAAATTCATAAAAAATCCTACAATATGATTTTCTGGATTTTTTTTTCTCAATTTGTCTGTCATAGTTGACATGTACCTATGATGAAAATGACAGGCCTCTCTCATCTTTTTAAGTGGGAGAACTTGCACAATTGGTGGCTGACTAAATACTTTTTTTCCCCACTGTACATACCGGTATGTTAGATTAGTTCAGAGGCAGTATCATAATACAGGAGCTGTAGGGGTGGATAAGAGACAGGCATGCTGGGACATACAGTGGGGAGAACAAGTATTTGATACACTGCCGATTTTGTATGTTTTCCTACTTACAAAGCATGTAGAGGTCTGTCATTTTTATCATAGGTACACTTCAACTGTGAGAGACGGTATCTAAAACAAAAATCCAGAAAATCACATTGTATGATTTTTAAGTAAATAATTTGCATTTTATTGCATGACATAAGTATTTGATCACCTACCAAACAGTAAGAATTCCGGCTCTCACAGACATGTTCGTTTTTCTTTAAGAAGCCCTCCTGTTCTCCACTCATTACCTGTATTAACTGCACCTGTTTGAACTCGTTACCTGTATAAAAGACACCTGTCCACACACTCAATTAAACAGACTCCAACCTCTCCACAATGGCCAAGACCAGAGAGCTGTGTAAGGACATCAGGGATAAAATTGTAGACCTGCACAAGGCTGGGATGGGCTACAGGACAATAGGCAAGCAGCTTGGTGAGAAGGCAACAACTGTTGACGCAATTACTAGAAAATGGAAGAAGTTCAAGATGACGGTCAATCACCCTCGGTCTGAGGCTTCATGCAAGATCTCACCTCGTGGGGCATCAATGATCATGAGGAAGGTGAGGGATCAGCCCAGAACTACACGGCAGGATCTGGTCAATGACCTGAAGAGAGCTGGGACCACAGTCTCAAAGAAAACCATTAGTAACACACTACGCCGTCATGGATTAAAATCCTGCAGCGCACGCAAGGTCCCCCTGCTCAAGCCAGCGCATGTCCAGGCCCGTCTGAAGTTTGCCAATGACCATCTGGATGATCCAGAGGAGGAATGGGAGAAGATTATGTGGTCTGATGAGACAAAAATAGAGCTTTTTGGTCTAAACTCCACTCGCCGTGTTTGGAGGAAGAAGAAGGATGAGTACAACCCCAAGAACACCATCCCAACCGTGAAGCATGGAGGTGGAAACATCATTCTTTGGGGATGCTTTTCTGCAAAGGGGACAGGACGACTGCACCGTATTGAGGGGAGGATGGATGGGGCCATGTATCGCGAGATCTTGGCTAACAACCTCCTTCCCTCAGTAAGATCATTGAAGATGGGTCGTGGCTGGGTCTTCCAGCATGACAACGACCCGAAACACACAGCCAGGGCAACTAAGGAGTGGCTCCGTAAGAAGCATCTCAAGGTCCTGGAGTGGCCTAGCCAGTCTCCAGACCTGAACCCAATAGAAAATCTTTGGAGGGAGCTGAAACTCCGTATTGCCAAACGACAGCCCCGAAACCTGAAGGATCTGGAGAAGGTCTGTATGGAGGAGTGGGCCAAAATCCCTGCTGCAGTGTGTGCAAACCTGGTCAAGACCTACAGGAAACGTATGATCTCTGTAATTGCAAACAAAGGTTTCTGTACCAAATATTAAGTTCTGCTTTTCTGATGTATCAAATACTTATGTCATGCAATAAAATGCAAATTATTTACTTAAAAATCATACAATGTGATTTTCTGGATTTTTGTTTTAGATTTCGTCTCAAACAGTTGAAGTGTACCTATGATAAAAATGTCAGACCTCTACATGCTTTGTAAGTAGGAAAACCTGTAAAATCGGCAGTGTATCAAATACTTGTTCTCCCCACTGTATCAGACACACAATATCACAGGAACATGTTGACGTACTAACCCCTTACACTAGAAACCCCTGGTTAAAATAGAACGGAAACAATACATTAGTGCTGTAAAAAGTGAGAGATGAACTGCTGTTGTAAAGTGAAGTGCAACTCAACACTGTGTGTGTGTGTTTGTGTGTGTGGGTGTGTGTGTGTACAACAATACTGGCCTGTGGACTTGCGTTGCGTCTTTGTTTTGTAAAGTGTTTAATCAGTCGAGTCCAGTACAGTATAACATGTTTCCTTATCTCTATTGGATAGAAAGGGCTGAGTCAGCGTACAGGCCAGGCTGTTCTCCCAGCTAGTGGTCTCACACCGCTGGTACTGGACGGGATATCATCAATCTTTTATTTGCCTGATCACTATCTCAACTCCTCTGCTTTGTGTAGACCAAAAATAAGTGTTGATGGTACTATTTATTTTTCTTTGCTGTATTCATCTTCTTTCTTCTTCTTTTCCTCCTCTCTAGGTTCATCAGTATGAAGTTGAAGTCCGTCACCTTCATAGACTCTACGTTTCAGAACTGTTACTTTGACGACGTGTCAACAGTGGGCTCATTATTCAAGAACTGCACCTTCGTAGAAGCCTTCTTTTATAACACAGGTGAGACCACACACACACACACTCACACATACACGCATGCATGCATGTATGCGCCAGGGTTTCCGTTAGCCAGTAATTACTTTTGTCATAGCCGATAAAATTGAAGCCGGCCAATCGCTCTCTCTCTGCTCTGTCTCTCTGTCTCTGCTCTCTCTCTCTCCTCCCCCTCGCCCTCCCTCATTCTCCCCCCTGTCCCTCTCCCTCTCTCTCCCCCGCTCTCTCTCTCCCGCTCCCTCTCTCTCCTCCTCTCTCTCTCGCTCCCCCTCGCTCTCTCTCCTCCTCTCTTTCTCTCTCCCCCTCACTCTCTCTCTGCTCCACCCTTTCTCTCTCTCTCAGACGCCTCATTCTATGTATTGTTCCAGTGACAGGGTGTAGAGGAGAGTGAAGAGTGAGGTTATGCAATTGTATAGCTTTCCTTAACACAAGTGAATTACAGCTCAACCTCTCTTCCCCTGCAGAAATTGCCTCTTTGTTCCCTGTTCGCTGTGCTTGACAAAGAAACCGAGCCGCGCGTATGTCCATAAGTACCACCTACAATAGCATTGCAGTGATCGTTACACTCTCCTGCAGCAGTTCAATTCTATCTGACAGAAGATCAGGGATTGAAACACGGTACTCTAAAGTGAAGGGGAGGGAAGGAAAGATATCCTTTCTAATTTGGCTTGGCATTACACAGACCAATGCACACTGTAATATCCTCTCAATGTACACTTGAGCACAGTTCTTGGTTAACGTTATCTTTTGATACTGTTTATGACATCTGTTATATCATTGTTACGACTGTGTTATGTAGCCCTTATGAAGGAGGGTTCAGGTGGAGTCCAATCTAATTATAAGAGGTGCTGACTAATAGTTGAACAAGACGACCCCTCCAGGAAAGGCAGTGTCTCTGAGGGAGTAGTGAATTAGGGGGACCGCTAACGGTCACAGTGCGGTTCAGCTGACTCAGACCGTGAGGGACCGCAGGTTTAGAAACGGTTCCCCCTCAGCATTTAGGAAACAGCTGAACATGAAAACAATCTGGGCGTGTGAGCTTGGTGGCAAAGCCTCATGGGAGACGTAGTCTCATTGCCTCAAGCAGCGACACAAAGAACAAAAGGGGAAGGGGGTGAGGGAGGGAGGGTGGGAAGGTGGAAGGGAGGGATAGAGAGAGAGAGAGAGAGAGAGAGAGAGAGAGAGAGAGAGTAGAAAGGGAGAGGTATGAAAAGGGCATAGTGTTTGCTGCCTCTGCTCTTTCTCTGTGATGTCGTGTATTAATAGCTTTTCCATCAGGGGAGAGATAAGTAGTTATCCCTAAAAGACCTGGGATATTTTTGCAGACGGACCATATTTCTGACCCCCCAGCCCTCACACCCCCTGTTCTACCTTCCCTTCATCAAGAGAAGAGACACTAACAAGAGGCAGACTGAAATCATGTGTGAACGATAGGGGACAAATATGAGTTAATAAAGAGTTAAAGGCCCATGGAAGCCTCATTAGATAATTAGTATAAACACAGCACAGTGCCCATTCGGAAAGTTCACCTGCCAGACAAACAGAACATAAAGGAGTCAAAATAGTACACTTGTCTCCTTCTCTATTTCTCTCTGTCTTTCTCTCCAGATATTGACGATTCTAAGCTGGTGGGGTCGAGGGTGATCAACAGTTCGTTCCACCACAACAAGACGGGCTGTCAGATGACCTTTGATGACGACTACAGCGCCTACTGGGTCTACTTCGTCAACTTCCTGGGGACACTCGCCGTGTTGCCCGGCAACATAGTCTCCGCCCTTCTCATGGACAAGATAGGGCGCCTGAGCATGCTGGGTAGGTTTTTGAAATTCTACTTCATACAGAGTATGTATTTGATATTCAGGCAAACGTTCAATTATGTGACTGTCCCCCCTGGGGTTTTACATACCGGTACCTATGAAATGAAATAAAAAATGTATCACCAAAAAGAGTATGTATTGGTAATCTGTTATCATTTCTTGTGTTGTGAGCTGATGTGATGTGTAATAGCATATTCTTTCCTCCAGGGGGCTCCATGGTGCTGTCAGGCATCAGTTGTTTCTTCCTGTGGTTTGGGACCAGTGAGTCTATGATGATCTTCATGCTGTGTCTCTATAACGGCCTCAGTATATCAGCCTGGAACTCTCTGGACGTAGTTACTGCTGAGCTCTACCCTACTGACAGGAGGTGGGTAGAACACATGCAGGCAGGCAGGCACGCACGCACACACACACTCTCCCTCCCTGACTCTCTCCTCTGCCCCCCTTTTCTTCTCCAGGGGTACAGGTTTTGGGTTCTGTAATGCCTTGTGTAAGCTGGCAGCGGTGTTGGGGAACCTGATCTTTGGTTCTCTGGTTGGCATCACAAAGGCCATCCCCATACTGCTGGCGTCGGCTGTACTGGTGGGAGGAGGCCTGGTGGGACTACGACTGCCTGACACACGCAGCAACGTCTTGATGTAGAACTACACTACCCATCAGCATTCACTCATGTACCCGTTAGGCTTTAGTTGAACACTGTCATAAAGACTACATATCTGCGCCGCTATTAAAGTATGCTATCTGGTTAGCTTAATGTTTAACCAATTAGCTAAGCTAAACAATAGTAAATTCCATAACAGTGCGAAGTCAGTTGTCATAGGCTGACATAAGCTAACATTGTTTTAAGACAGTGGTATGTAGGCCTTATGATAGCATGTTCAAGTAAAGTGGGTTGCCCTGCACAGGTGTCACATGGGACACCACTGTGTGAAAGGCTTTGTCACCAATCACTCACAGTCTTTATTTCAGATATTACTGTAAAATAAGGGCATTTATTGATTTGTTGTACGTTTGTTTATTTATGTATTTGTCTATCAGTAATGTATTAATGTTATTTATTGTGTCACTGCTGTGCTATCTTGTACTTCTAACAACAATGCCAAGAAGTCACAGCACCTCAGTGGGGCGTGATTTCTAAATTCAAAATAAACAGTTATTAATTATGTACAGTACCAGTCAAAAGTTTGGACACACCTACTCATTCCAGGGTTTTTCTTTATTTTTAGTATTTTCTACGTTGTAGAATAATAGTGAAGACATCAAAACTATGAAATAACACATAAACAATCAAAGATTCTTCAAAGTAGCCACCCTTTGCCATGATGACAGCTTTGCACACTCTTGGCATTCTCTCAACCAGCTTCATGAGGAATGCTTTTCCAACAGTCTTGAAGGAGTTCCCACATATGCTTAGCAATTGTTGGCTGCTTTTCCTTCACTCTGCGGTCCAACTCATCCTAAACCATCTCAATTGGGTTGAGGTCGGGTGATTGTGGAGGCCAGGTCATCTGATGCAGCACTCCATCACTCTCCTTGGTCAAATAGCCCGTACACAACCTGGAGCTGTGTTTTGGGTCATTGTCCTATTGAAAACAAATGATAGTTCCACTAAGCGCAAACCATATGGGATGGCGTATCGCTGCAGAATGCTGTGGTAGCCATGGTGGTTAAGTGTGCCTTGAATTCTAAATAAATCACAGACAGTGTCACCAGCAAAGCACCCCCACACCATCACACCTCCTCCTCCATACTTCACGGTGGGAACCACACATGTGGAGATCATCCGTTCACCTACTCTGCGTCTCACAAAGACACGGCGGTTGGAACCAAAAATCGCAAATTTGGACTCATCAGACCAAAGGACAGATTTCCACCGGTCTAATGTCCATTGCTCGTGTTTCTTGGCCCAAGCAAGTCTCTTCTTCTTATTGGTGTCCTTTAGTAGTGGTTTCATTGCAGCAATTCGACCATGAATGAAGGCCTGATTCACGCAGTCTCCTCTGAAAAGTTGATGTTGAGATGTGTCTGTTACTTGAACTCTGTGAAGCATTTCTTTGGGGTGCAATCTGGGGTGGAGTTAACTCTAATGAACTTATCCTCTGCAGCAAAGGTAACTCTGGGTCTTCCATTCCTGTGGCGGTCCTCATGAGAGCCAGTTTCATCATAGCGCTTGATGGTTTTTGCGACTGCACTTGAAGAAACTTTCAAAGTTCTTGAAATGTTCCGTATTGACTGACCTTCATGTCTTAAAGTACGATGGACTGTCGTTTCTCTTCACTTATTTGAGCTGTTCTTGCCATAATATGGACTTGGTCTTTTACCAAATAGGGCTATCTTCTGTATACCCCCCCTACCTTGTCACAACACAACTGATTGGCTCAAACGCATTAAGAAGGAAAGAAATTCCACAAATTAACTTTTAGTAAGGCACACCTGTTAATTGAAATGCATTCCAGGTGACTACCTCATGAAGCTGGTTGAGAGAATGCCAAGAGTGTGCAAAGCTGTCATCAAGGCAAAGGGTGGCTACTTTGAAGAATCTCAAATATATTTTGATTTGTTTAACACTTTTTTGGTTACTACATGATTCCATATGTGTTATTTCATAGTTTTGATGTCTTCACTATTATTCTACAATGTAGAAAATAGTAAAAATTAAGAAAAACCCTGGAATGAGTAGGTGTGTCCAAACGTTTTACTGGTACTAAATGTTCAAGCCTTTTGTACCCCAGTTCCAATTGTAAGAATAACATGGCCATAATAAAATATAAATAGTAATACATAGCTTTAGTTAAAATGTTCAGATTTTTACTGTCAGAGACATTTGAGATTGGGAAAGTCATGTGAATTCTTGTGTGTGTGTGTGTGTGTGTTGTGGAACTAAGCTAAGGGCTTTGTTCTCTGTTGCTGTGGGTCTCTGTCAGGAGAGGAATGTATTCTATAAGAAACCTCGGAGCTGCAAGCGATAGCTTCTCCCTCTCTCTTTCTCTGTATCTGTTTAACCCTCTCCAAAACTTGATAGCCTTTCTCAAATGTTGTGCCTCTCTCCCTCCAAACCTTTCTCTCCTGCGACATTGTGCTGGAAACCTCTGCCAGCTCGCTCTAGTGTGTAGTTCTTCTCTTCTTCGCTCTAGTGTGTAGTTCTTCTCTTCTTCGCTCTAGTGTGTTTGTATTGTGTGTTTGTGTGTGTGTGTGTGTGCGTGTGATATTTCGGCAACCCCCTGTGAGCTAGCTTGTCAGTTTGGCCATCTTGATGTGTGACCTTATTGAAATCCATTAGTGCACTCTTTTCAACAGAGGGTTCTACATGGAACTCAAAAGGGTTCTACCTGGAACCAAAACGTGTTCTTCTAAGGGTTCTCCTATGGGGAGGCTGCTGAGGGGAGGACGGCTCATAATAATGGCTGGAACGGAGCAAATGGAATGGCATCAAACACATGGAAACCATGTGTTTGATGTATTTGATACCATTCCACTTTTTCCGCTCCAGCCATTACCACGAGCCTGTCCTCCCCAATTAAGGTGCCACCAACCTCCTGTGAATCCAGTCATATTTCGAACCAACATCTGCTTAGGTTCAGATTCAGAAAACTTTAATGTCCTCAGAAAAGCAATTCATTTTGCAGGAGTCATAAAACATACAAACGAAATCACATATTAAAAAACAACAGCAAATAGCAAAGGATATTTACAAGCAAGTAGGCTGGGACAAGTGCAATTTCATAATACAAATTTAAAAACGGGCTACATACATGTTAAAGTGCAAGTTCTAAAGTGCAATTAGTCCAACATTTTGTTAAGTTGCAGAATTGCATTCGAAATAAAAGAGCCCTTGGCCCTATTTTTTTTAACCTTAGGTACTCTGTACCTGCAACCAGAGGGGAGGAGCTGGAATTCGGGGTGGAGTGGGTGGGAAGAGTCAGGCGGTATTTTATTCACCTTCTGGAGGGCTCTGCCCAGGTAGAGATAGCACTAGCTGTTGCTGCCCAATGAACCTTGGCATTACCAAACCAGCAGGTCTGTTTGTTTTAGGTTCTTTTTTGTTGAATATCCAGGCGTTTCGTTTGGGGAGTTGATAAAAACTCAGCTATGTTTAAGCAGAAAGCAGGAGGGTTTTAACTTGATGAGATATGAAAAAGCCATTCTAAACCTAGCCTAAGTTTAATCAAAGGTACCTATTGCTGCTATCCTCAGTGCTACGGGTCTGACATGAATACAAGTTAGGTTATAAGATATGTTCTTTAGTCAGCCTGGGTGCCATAGTTACTATACGTTACAACATAACCATTCTCTAAGGGCAGTGTCTATTTAGGATTCAGGCTTAAGATCTTGTGACCACACGACTATGTTGGTATGTTAAGGAATATTTCACCTATTTCACTAATAAGCTAAATGTATAGTTTGGAGTGAACTATCCCTTTAACATATTTATGACGTTGCGGTAAGGGAATGGCATTATTGCAGTACATGCTTTTGCATTTGACCAGGTATCGATCATTTGTGTAGATGTACAGTATGTGTGTATGTATGATATTGTATGATATTGTGTGTGTGTCTATAATATATTGTATATATTTAAAAGTTGTTAATTTCCCAACAATGGGTTGGGGTCGATGTTAATGAGTTGATTTGACTCACTGAAGTGTCTGATTGGTTTGTTAATCAGTTTGTGTATTTCAGCTTGTCCAACTACATCATTTGCAGCCATCCATTCCCCCTCACGTAACTCTCTGTGTGAAACAAACTCTAAACTACACTTCTGCATGTGTGTTACTAAAGTCTTTCTGTTGTTTGTTCTGCTACAGGGATGTAGTTGTAAAAAACAAGAAAGGTGGCTAAACACTGTAGCTGGTCGAGATGACATAGTAACATAAACACTACAGGTAACAATGCTAATTTGGTGTGACAGCCAGGTGTGTTAACAACACTATTCACATAATAAACCAGTGGTGTAGTCCTTGTTTAGGTGTGTTTCCGCCCCACTACATCCCTGCTGCTGTTCTTCTATGGTGGAGCAGCCATTTTAATCTGGGTCAAAGGTAAATGTATCATTCTGGTTAGTTACTTGTTCTGTGGGCAGGTATCGATCCGTTCTTCTGGGTAATTGTGACAGGGCATGCCAGTGGGGAGATGACTGTACTGTACGGCGCTACAGACATGCTATAGACCAGGACTATTCAACACCAGTTCCCTCCACAGTACTGCTGGTTTCCTCCTATCCCCTTCTCTCCCTCTTCTAACTGATCAGCATTCCCGAGTGGCGCAGTGGTCTAAGGCACTGCATCGCAGTGCTAGCTGTGCCACTAGAGATCCTGTCGTAGCTCTGTCGTAGCTCTGTCGTAGCCGGCCGCGACCGGAAGACCCATGGGGCGGCGCACAATTGGCCCAGCGTCGTCCAGGGTAGGGGAGGGAATGGCCGGCAGGGGTGTAGCTCAGTTGGTAGAGCATGGTGTTTGCAACGCCAGGGTTGTGGGTTCGATTCCCACGGGGGGCCAGTATGAAAAAAAATAAAAATAATGTATGCACTCACTAACTGTAAGTCGCTCTGGATAAGAGTGTCTACTAAAATGTAAATATAATGCTTTTTACAAAAACATTTGTCACAAAGTGCTTAACAGTAACCAGGTCTAGACACATAAATA